TTGTCTAGGAGCGTGACGTCCTGTAAAAACAGATGCTTTAATCCAAAATTAATTTTATTGAAAATTAATTTAATTAGGGATTTAAGCCAGGTGCAGGGCACCTTGATTGAAAAATGTGTAATAGTAAACACAGCTTTAAGAAAGCATTTCTTTTCTCCTTTGCAACACCCGTAATGAGATCGTTCAAAGAAAAGGTTTTTCAGTCCGTCCTAAAGACGAAAACATACAATAAATTCTCAGTGCTACGTTGAATGATCAAAGCTGAAGGTTACAGCTGAGAAACACAGCACTCAGCTACACTAGAGGTGCAGTTCAAGTGTTTTATTATTCGCTTTATATCATTTTAATGCTTCGTTGTGACATCAACAGCGTTGCTGCACGAGTGACATTGAAAAACGATGCGCTAAATTCACATTTATGTTCCCAAAACCCAAAAAAAGGTGAATATTCTTCCTTGAAATGAAGACACCAAACGATTATAAAAGTGAAATGTAATGTAAATGATTTTTGTACAATTTGATAGTGAGTTCAAAATGTCGTAATAGACAGCTACAAAATACTTACCATGCAGAACATTGAGGGGACAGAGGATTAGCGTTTTAGACGTCGGACGTCGGTGTCCTGGAGGCATACCCTAGGTGCACTTGTAATGGTCGCAGTAATTCTATAGAAAATAATCTGAAAATTTTCATTGCATTTCCCCATAAAACCTTGCTAATATATAGATATAAAAATTAAAAAAAATCGTGAATTGTTAAATAAATAAATTATGAAATAAATAAATAGCAGGAAAAATAAATCCTTGCTAAGAAACGATTTCGAACGTCGTAATATATAACAATTCTGAACTCAATCTGCACATCTGGCCATGAGAAATCGGGCCGATAATTTGAAAGTGAACTCGAACTATATTTCATCTTGAAATTAAAAAAGACAAAATCGGTAAACCTATTGTATTCTATCGCTTAGCTTAACCATAACGAAGGTTGAAAAACGAACGGTCTTGATTTCCCCAGTGAACTTTTGGTAAAACATGACCGGCAAGCTGCGCCGGTACAGCTATAGCTTCATAAATCAAAAATTTACAAAACAACCCGAAAAATATTTAACTCGCCCATTACATGAAGTTTGCAAAGTATGAAGAAGCATTTATTTCCAGCGTAGTAAAAATGTTTTCATTTTCACAGAGCGTGTAGTTTAATAAAACCGCTCAAGTCACGCGACATTTTATAAAACTCTGAAAAATTTAGGTAATATTTTTTGGAATATTTAAATTTTCGGTTCAGCTTGAAAATTCCTTCTTTCCGACGTTAGAAGACATTTCTGAAACGAATCAATCGTAAACATTTGCTGAATTCTAAATAATATATCGACAAATGTAGACTTTCCATAGCAAACACACGCCTGGTAGGTAAACAGGAGCAGCGGTAGCCATATTGAAACTTACCGTTAACATTTTCCAGTCCTATTGATATATTTAAATTTTATTCATTATGACCACAATTCGGAATCCTTGCGCGTGGTTGGCCTAGGACCGATTATCGTTCGTATCGTTCTCCTAAAGGACGAGACAAGGATGTATGATTGAAAAACCTGCGAAAACTATTCGTAATAAACAGGTATGCGATAAATCCTTTAATGAAAAAGCTGAAATAAAACAAATATTTTAATGGTTTAATGACGATTCGTTTTCAGGGTTGCTCGAAGAAAACCAACGACAATGTTGGTGCTGCTCTCTCGTATGTTTTCATGACCCTCCTGCGAGACCGACTTCGGTAAATTAAACAGAGCCTTAACCCCAATCGTCTCGGGTGCTATTAAAAATGGACATATTTCGAATAACCTCTATGAAATGTAATGAAAATTCCCACAGGTTTGTTGGATGAGATATTCCTCAAGTGAGCTTCTAGTCTGGTGACTTTATTTTTTGGTCTGCCATTCTTCTCAAATAATCTTTTTTGGATTTATTAAGCTGTAAAAAATTTTAGGTTCTTCTTTCCTCTACCTTATAAGGCCCCGGTTCTTGAAAAAATTTGGGCTAGGGATGAAATTGTAGCTTGTGTATCGCACCTGGTTGGTTGACGCATTGTCATTCGCCATCACTGCGTACTCTGTTTTGCTTGGGACGATTCTCTGCCATAAATTGTACGCTTGAATGCACATTACGGAATATAAACATATTAAGAATAATCATAAAATAATTATTTATTAACAAAGTTCCGATCTCTTCTCACTCGAGTTAGTCGCATAATTGTAGAAAAACATGTTTTTTAAGCAAAGAACTCAAAATGTTATTTATTTCATAGAAAATATGCAGACGACTTTGGCTGATTTAAGAATTTTTTTCTACAGCTTTCTTCCAACATTAATTATGAAACCACAGCAATTGTAATTAAGTTAATCTATTCTTTGATCATCAACCGAATCTATTTTGTAGAACAAAAATGTACCTTCTGTACGTTTATTGAGAGTCGCGCGCAAACTCTTCCACAAGGAAACTTTAGAGGCTGTCAAGAAGTCACCAATGCGATCCCAAAATTGTATTGCATTCAAGCGACAATTTGAATTACATTTCACTTTCAGACATTTATGGACAGAGCGAGAAGGAAAAATTAAGGATGAGCCCTTAATTTACGGCATTGGATTTTTAAAGTTCTCAAATTTGCGATAAATATGAGGTCAAATTATTTGATAAACAAAATTATTATTAAATTATTTGAGTACAAATGCGCTGACCCGAGATGATTTTAATTTTGAGTTCAAGTGTAATATCTCACGTTGGTCATTTTAATGTTAAATGATGTTATTTGAAGCATGTTAAGCCTAAACAATGCTTCATCTAATTACTAAATAAACCTTCAGGAATTAAATTTTTGTTAAACCTTCATTATATGTAGCAGAATTAAAATTTCATCGTTAAAGAAAATAATAATTAATTTTAATTTGTGTTCATTATTTTTAATAACTCGAGAGATAAATGATAGTACATGATAATAAAGAAGACTCTTTTAGGAGGGATTAACACGAGACTTTATTCATTCCGAATATTTTAAATTTTCACGGTAAAATTACATGAGGATGCTGCATAATTTAATGTTTATTTTTTCATGTATCACTTGCTAACTCTTTCTCGAATTGATATCCGTGGGAATTGCATTGCTAATGGAATTTAACTCACAAAAATTATTCAGTTCACTATTTCTGATCTACAATACATGATACCTTCGAATTTTTTTTTGCTCGTTTCAAATGAACGAGTCCCGTTTCAATTTTCAATAAAGCAAGAAATATTTTAGTTCATTCCCCCTCATGTGTATTTTTAAATTCAACAATTTTATGCAATAAATGAATAGAAATTCCATTGCTCCTTCGTAATAGATTTTCCGGAAAGAGAACATAGCAATTGACGATTGCAGATCGTTGTAATGTAGGTAGATGAGCTGTCATTGAATTTTGAAATCCACGTGGTTTTGATTTATTACTGCGATGAGTGTATTCATAGTATTTAGAGAATACTGAGAGGCATGAATGCGTAGTATTGAATGATTTATGTGGTGGATGAATTCGTGGTATTGAGTGATGGCTGTCATGGATGAATTATTATGCTGGAACCTCGATAAAAAAATTAAAAAGTTTCATTCATGCACAAGACGGCTGTTTACTAGGATAAGATACAAACTAACGACGTGAACATTTATAAATTTTATTGTCTTTACATATTTGATTTTTATACCCTATTCTCACAAATTATTGCAATCTAAAAAATCAATGTATAATATTATGTAACTAAAAAATATTATTCTATTAAGGTTACCATCTATATAGTAATTCAAGTTATCAAGCGAGGCCCTGACTCATTGCAAGATAAATTTCTTAATTTCTTTCTGAGGTTTGTAAAATGTATTTGTATTTCTCAATATGTGACAAAGAATCGATAAAATATTCAAATATTAAATACACATAAATTTTGAATTATTAATTAAATTATTCATCAATACAAATATCAATTAAATCATTAATTATTCAATAACACGACCGGATTTAACCCTAAAAAATATATCGAATGTCCCCCAATAAAATTTTCACTTGGACTTTTATTTAAACACTCATTTAGGTTCCACCGTTGCAAGAAAATTGGTTGAGAATATCGAGAACTGTTAATCAATGATACAGAAACATATCTTACATTTTTCAAACAAAAACTGAAACTTCTATTCAACGCATATGATATCAATTCGCGAACTTTAGCATGTTTTTTATGTGCTTTAAAATAAAATTATTATTAATTAAATATTAATTAATATTAATTAATTATTATTATTAATTAATATTAATTATTAATTAATTATAATAAAAGTGTGCATTAAATTATAAATCTCTTTCGGTCGAAGAATATTTTAAAATTTATTATATCAAATTAGTCAAAGGAGTTTCGAGGTGAATGCCGGCATTTGATTAATGTAAATGTTTAACCAAAATATTTCACTTTAATTATTTTCAACCTGCAGTATTAAAAATCAAGGCCATCGCTTCCACGTGCCAAAGTTTAATGAAATTAATTATCTACAAAGGAAATATTTCAATAAATAAGAAGAATCTATCAGATATATTACAAAATTATTTAATGACATACTCCCGAAACGAAAAACAATCTATATACTTTCGAAATGCTGTGAACGATTTGCAATACTACACAAATTTAGCTGAGAAAATTACGGAAAACACATGGATGAAATGATTTTGGATTCCGGCAAACGGAAGGGTTTTGTGCAAGAATTGAGTGGGGTAATGAATGAGTTCAGCTCATTAACTCAGCTCATTAACTCGGAGAGGTAATGAGTGATTTCAGCCATACGGTGATCATTGTATGTTAGTACAAGAATTGGGCAGATAAGGACATGGTCCCGACACACAGAACATGCAGAAGTTAATTTCGCCCAACTTGCTGGCGAATTGAGCTTTCAATTGTAAAATTTGGTCATTATTAGAAAGCTGATAATTGGTAAACATTTAATAGGTTTAGCAAACGGATATTTTGACATATTTTGAATGCTTTGTATTGAAACAAACGGGATAGCACCACATCAAATAAATTTCATGGAACAATCATTTTTAAGTCTAAACTACATTACGCGATAATCTTTTCATTATAAACTATCATCGATGGCCAACATAATTACATGGATCCCTTAGCCAGGGCATCAGCCCGGCAAGCGAGTCATCTAATACACTGACGAAGATTATCCGTCAAGAAGAACCGTGCATTCTTTTTATCATTGGGGAAGGTGAAGTTTTTTCCTGAGGAGAAATTTTTCGTTTGAAAACTTTGTTGTGAAGAACAAGGTGCAGTCATAAGAGTCGACTTAACACGGTACGACACTCTCACGGCAGCGACGCACGACAAGGCTTCTACGGCCGGCAGCCCCACGAGGTACGTCACGATGAGCGTGAGCAGAACGTGCGATCCGAAGCACGCGCGGCACGTCGAGCCCGTCTGCATGGCCTGGGGCAGTTCACCTGATCATGTGTGAAAAATATGAAGAAATTATCTGTTCTCAATAATAAATATGAATAAATTAGGAGAAGTTTTTGATGCGAAGAAAATAGATTGTTATATTAGAAAATAACTGATCATTTGAAAACTGTCAAAATATATGACTCTTTAGAAAAAAATGGAAAAATGATAATGATGAATTAAAGTTTTGTTGGGAAAGGAGCATATTTCTCATAATGCTTTATGATGAAAGGTATCTAAGTATCTACATTATAAAAAGAATCTGCATTCTCATGTGATCAGAAAATGCAGAAGCAAATCAAAAATAAAGAATACACAATATGGAAAGCAGGTGGGCTCTGCATCGCTCAATAAATAATGGAATAAGCAGACAATATAAATTGATTACATTTTCTAGCTGAAAGGCAACGAGGAAACGATCTTTCCCATTGTTCCATTAAATCAATAGAGAAACAGGTTAAAGCTGTTATTTTTATTTTCATTTATCATTAACTTCGCAATTATTAAATTCTTTCTGGTGAAATCTGAAGCATATGAAGTAACATCGACATACGGTGGCCCGCAATTACAGATCTGAATTTTATCATTTGCTAAGTAAGGAATTTGCGCTTACAGCAAAAATACGAAAGAATATCTCTCAGAATTAACGCGGTGCTCCAAATAGCTTCAAATCCAGGGGTTGGCGTTTAAATAATTAGATTCAAATACAGTTTTTACAATGCGTTGTAAGTTCCACACAATCTTGACTATAATACAATAACTATCGTAAAGTTTTCGCACTACAGTTGTGAGTTCACGCAATCTCGACCATAATAAACAATACCTACTGTAAAATTTTTACAATGCGGTTGTGACCTAACACCATCTTGTCCATAATACAATACCTACCGTAAAGTTTTTACAATACGGTCGTTAGTTCCCCGCCGTCTTGACCATAATATACAATAACTACCTTAGAGTTTTTAAGGTTGTGAGTTCAACACCATCTTGACCATAATAAACAATAACTACCGTAAAGTTTCTAAAATACGGTTGTGAGTTCACGCCATCTTGACCATAATACAATACCTACCGTAAAGTTTTAACTATTCGTTTGTGAGTTCTCCATCATCATGACCATAATACAATACCTACCTTAAAATTTTTACTATGTGGTTGTGAGTTCCTTGCCATCTTGACCATAATACTATATAACCTACCGTGCAGGACGGTGAGGGTAACAGAGGCCTCGCGCATGCCCTCGGGACTGCAGATGTAGACACCGGAGTCCTGAAGGCGGACGTCTTCGATCCTGAGGATGCTGGTCGTGGTCGCGCCCTTCGTCGTGCTCACGCTCACGCCCTGCCGTGACCCGTCGAACGTCACCACCTTCAGGAGCATTAATACAGAAAATTTAGCAAGGAATAATGAGCGAATAGTTTTTATATTATTTATATTTACCTATTAACTTGTATCGTTATTTTGTGGCTTGATCCTTATTCGCTCTTGATATTTATGGTGCAAAATTTAAAGGGACTGAGAATGGTGTATCGAGTTTTTAAAGATGTATTACCGATCAATTAGACGATTTTTTTACGTTCGTGTTATTCGTACTTTACTACATTTTTTAGTTGAACTTTTCTATTATTCAATAGGTTCATGTGCTAAAACATCAACCGCATTCTGGAATTCGCGCGGTCGTTTCAAATTCAGACAAGGTTATTAATTCAGCGACGTTACTAGCCTTGGCCTGGCGCAGAGAGCTGAGATTCTATGCATATTGATGCCCATAAATATTGTGCCTGTGCAATTGATACCTCATGAAAATCTTGATCTTATTCTTATTCAAAATCTAGGCTTACCAAAATCTCTGTAAAATTTTTTTTTACATATTGAGCGGAGTCATATATGAGCCTCCCCAAACAGAATGTTGAGTTTTTTCATTTTATATCGCCATTATATTTAGCGGTAGAGGTGTAATCATTTAGCCTATCATGAAGAAAATTTAAGCGAAACAGTAGCCCGATAATTAAGTATGGACTGAATTGGCGGAATGATACCGGAATAAGGCAGTTTGTCCAGGCCAGGCGCTTGCAAGAGGCGCTATTGTCTTATAGAGAAGCATCTTCAGTCCCTGCACAAGAATTGCAGTCGCATTCGCAATTGCTACCCGTTTTTATATGAAGTCAAGTGAGATTTATCATAAATAAATTAGAACTGGAGCGATATTCACCTTAGCAGTTAAACAAACAAACAACAACGCAACCACGTGATTGGAAGAATAAATTTTATGACCTGCACATGGTTCAACGATTTTTTATTCCAAGCAACAAATAATGAAAACGTCAACTTGCTTTGCGTGCACTTCGACATGCTTGCGTGACTGTGTTTCCATTACTGAGCGTTGTCTCTATTTCAGCACACGTGAGTTGCCAGAGCTTCAACATGCGAGCGTTGACTTTAATCCTGTACTCGCCGGTTGCTTTTGTTTCAACATGCTTATTTTGCATGCGTTTCAACACTCGTGTAGTGCGAGTGCACAGTGCTCGAGTCGTGACCCACGTATTGAATACTCCCGGGTTAATATGGATACTTCAACGAACATATTTTTAAAGTATTGAATGCTTGAAAAATACATGAAAACGTTAGTGACACTTGTTTCTAAATAGCGACTATTGTTACTTTTGTTTGAGTGTCAACCGCCGTCAACAGGGTACCTGCATGCAAGCCCTGATGGAAGCAAGACGCCGTGCGCGGAAAAATTTGTACTTGGCTAGTCCAGTTACACGTGATTCTGTCTTTGACTCATTCAGTGCAGTGCATTAGTTGGAAAAAAATTAATTTTATTTCTTGAATTTTCATTCTGGAGGCTCACGCTCATGTGGTCTACGTGGAAATTTGAAATTTGACCGAAAATTTTTAGTCAACCGTTCAGTACCCCTATTAAAAATTTCGTTTAGTTTGTTCCAATTATTGGAAATTATGTTCCGTTTTACTGTAACGGAGACCTTAAAGATTAGGTTAGTTTAAGTATTGATTTCGAGAGACATAAAGAAGCATGAAAAGCTGAACTTTTCACAGCTCAAGTGAGACGGAGGTGACTCAAAGGGTGTTCTGGGCTACTGTATGCTCACAGTAACCAGAGTGCAATTCACTTTTTGTTATCTTTTGATTTAATGCATGCCATGGGCCATTTTGAAAGTTAATGCATGCCTCGTTACTATTTTGGTCTGACCCAACCGTTTAAGTCGTCTCTGACGCATTGATATACTTGGCAGTATTGCCGGCTTTCGAGCCCTTAACTTTACGCCCTGTGGCGCTTTAACCCTATTAACTTAGCAAAGTTGGGTCGACCAGTCATTCATTAATATACTAACCTTTGCACTCAATTGCACTGTCCAACACCTTTGTACCTCTAAAAGGCTTTAAAGCCACTTCTAAATTGACCCCAGCGGTAATAAATTAGAAGGTTAGTCTCGAAATATTTAATCTTAACTTTTCATAAATTGAGCAATATATCTTGATCCTCATAATGATTAATTGCATATGATACAATAGCACTTGTTCCATCAATCTAATCTTGGTTTGTAACTGTTAATTTTACAGTATAACCTCCGGTGTATTCTCGTACGTCGCATCTCTTTTGCCGTGTGCTTCATGCCTCCAGTGCAGCCAGCGCGACATTATTTGTGCTGTACGCGTTATTTCATTTGAGGTTAGATTGGGAATATGCGTTCGCTGTCAAGTTTTGTACCGCTGAATTGGAATTGTTGAGCATAATTGATAAACTCATTTCTCAAGCTCCGGCATTTATTTAGCAAGGTCTCTTTTTCTACTTTCAGTTCCCTAAACTGCATCCACAGCAGATCCGTTATTCTACTTCGCTGGAGCCGAAGTTTACCCTTTGGAGTTTCAATAAAATTGATAGCCTTTATGTACGTTATGTAATTAATAGCCGTTATGTATGAATTCCTTACACTGCCATGATTTAATTGGAAGTGTCTATTGCACGTAAGATAATGTGCATAATTTGATGAAGTGCCTAATTCGGAAAAATTTTTGCCACTGAGGATTGATTGTCTTTGCTTTTTGTTAGCCTCAAGTTATTTACAGCAGTGTGTGAAAATACAGATAGTAGCTCGAGAAATATAAAATAACTAAATATTAATAAGTTTCTTCATAAACGAGCCCAGACCACAACCTTATAATATGGTTAGTATAAGCGACGTTATTTTCAACCGTAGGTACGGTTTACTTCGTTTTTATTAATGTTGGGCGTAGATTATTGAATCTATTTGCAAATCTTCGTTTTCAAAACACGTTTCTAACAATGTTTCAAGAGGCATCGCGAAAGGTAAAGCAGGTACGCAAAAATACTTACAATGCTTCATAACTCAAAAGTTTGTCACGAACAGAATGTAACATATGTAGGTATTCATTGGTGCTCTGAACAAAATTGTTCGTCTAAAAAAAGCAATTCCTCGGATCACAGACTGCCCCTTACCTCAAATCTGTATATGTAAGAATCATAGCAATTATAGCGAACAAGGGTAGAATGAGGATAACAATAAATAGTCAACTGTGTCTACAACGTTAAATTACAAATGTTAATTGGAATACATATTGTGTCTATATAAGCGTAACTGATTAAAGTCCAGTCATATAAACTCTGAACTCGCTGCGCCAGTCAAGACGTACAACGCCTGCCTGCCTTCTCCAACTTCGAACAGGAATCGGCTGTAGCTTAGGCAGAACTGAATCAGTTTCCTCAGTTGGGCTGGACGTTGGGCATTCATATGTATTCATAGTTATTTTCTGTATTGTAACTGCGTCGACCAACCATCGATGCAACCAAATTTATTAATTGTTTACAAAATAATAATAATAATAATACTATAGAAGTAATAATATATAATTCATATAATTGCAAGTAATATAATTTAATCAGTTACATTTATTTCAGAATTTGAATTAAAGAAAGTACACACGACTACTTAAAGCTAAGTACGAGTACGAGTACGAATTTAACAACGAGTATTAAGTATAATTAAAGAAATTTATTCCATTAGTAGAAAAAAGCAGATTGATATCAATCAATTAAATCATTGTAATGCTACAAGGCGCTATTTTACCAATGTCATAACATCAAATATTTGGATTACATAAAAAAAATTTATGAGTGAGGAAAATTTAGTAGGGTAACGTGGGGCAGCGCGCCCCCCACTTTTTTTAAACTAAATTTTTGATGAAGTTTTAATTGATACGAGGTGGTTCTTTGTTTTGTTTACAGGTGCAACTAATGAGGAATGTATGATGTGAATTAGACGCCTATAGAGTTATTCAATTTTTAATGAAACACTATTTTGTAAAAAGTGTCAAAATGGGTATTTTTATCTGGACTAAAACAGTTCTTCGCAAAGAACTTAATAACGCAAACACTTAGCAAAACGTAAATCCGTACACTTCATCCCAGTGAAACTGTCGACCGGCGGTAGAGAACACGGACCAATATCTGCCATACTTAGCGAGAAACCCGCTATGGGCCCGTGACCCGCAGTGGGCTCGCTGCCCCATGTTACCCTATCAATGAAAAAAATGCATTCGAATCTGACTGACGTAATTCACTGAGACAATGCTCTCAAACATCATGACATTATATTATAGAGCGTCATCCCTCCTATCGTCAGAATTGCAATGCACAGATAAGATAATACTCAGATTGATAGCATAGCACCTGATCGATAGCATCACCACATCACCTGACAAGCGCAGCGATAAATACTATCTTAGTAAGTAATATTTTTTATATATTAGAAGAATTACACTAGTAATCAGAAATATATTTTGCTGAGTAGCATAAAAAACAATCTGGTTGACTTGGATATCAATTTGCCTTTGAATTAATCATTTTCCGAAGGAAAAACAATTTCCAAAAGTTTTATCAGAGTCAGAGGTACACTGGCGCTATCTCTTTCACGGAAACATGGTCTCATCAGTAGACCTCCGTACGTTGTTCGGCGCAGTCGTGGTAAAACACGAAACCAATTTAAAAATCATTAACCTGTTGTTGAAGTCCTCGGAAAGCACGTTCTGGTGATTCCCTGACCAAATTTGATTATGAGGTGACGAAAAAATACGTAATTTCAGTGCAAAACTTCCGCTTTCGTGGTCTTTGGTGCGGTCGTACAAAGCTTTTACCAATATTGATGTTCATGAACACGTGAATCGTAACGATTTGGTTATGATACACTAACGTACAATAATTGCAAATAACTTGATAAAATTCAATCACATGCCATACAACTGAAGTAACGAAAAAATTCTCTGATTATAAAATGGGGATTAAGTTACTATTTGTTGATCTTAGTCCTCGACTGCTGATATATTTCCCTGGGCAATTGCTCGAAGGAATCGTCAAGGTTGATGTTGAAAAATCCACAGTATGTAAAGGTAACTCAGATAAAGTCCTCTGTAATTCTGTAAAATTAATTAAAATGGAAATCTCGCCAAAAACTTGCAAATGAATTATGGCTAGGTGTAGTACTTATAATTTGTGTTGTCTTCAAAGAATTTCTACATTATGGAAGAATAAATTTTGAAATATTTTTTACGTACAATCAGGTTCCATTCATCCGTTGACATACTCATTTTCAAATCTTTGTATAGGGTGAAAAACAGTGTTTCCTTACGGATCTCTCGATCCTTACCAGTTATTCGTATTTAAGCCATTCATTGCATATGGAGGAACATGGCTATCGATGCACACCAATTTGTATGAGCAGGAATCACTTTAACTTGTTTCGGAGAGGCTTGGACGGAGTGGAAAAAAAGATCGATGATGGGCAAGCGTTATTTCTATAATGGAGAAGTGTACGGCAAGCAGAAGATGTGTCTTTGGGGGGAAGAAGGTAAGATCCAGTTCTATTTATTTGCTATTTGCTCTACAGAAATTACAAATATTGGACTCCACTATTTTAAAACCACTACTAAATTTCAATCGAAATCGGATAAGCGATAACCTTATGCCATCATGCCTAAATCGAAAGTTGGATACGGTAGAGAAGGGTCTACCCATATTGCCTCTAAATTTAAACTCTATTACAGGTTCGAGGAACCTGGCCTCTGGCATTCACGAATTTCCCTTCAGCTTCGTGCTTCCTGAAGAGATGCCTTCGTCTTTTGAGGGACCGTATGGCTTTGTTAGGTACAAAGTGAAAGCTAAGGCTAAAGTTCCGCATGGTTTGGACAAGAGATGCCAAGTTTACTTCTCTTTCTGCCAGCCGTACGACCTCAATCTGGATTTTAGAGCACAAGTAGGCTAAACATGACATCGATCAAAAATATAGATCCATGGTGATTACAATTTTCTCTCATTGCATTATTTGATGCTGTGTGTTTAGATTTATTCATAAACTACTCTTTTATTTAATTCCGATTAATATTACCTCATACGTTACACCTGACATACTAAAGACATTCTATTTTCTACAGACGCCGCTATCGGTCGTATCTCGCAAAGATCAAGCATGGAGCGTTAAAAGCCAAGTTCAAGTCACCATGGAGCTCGAAGGACCAACGCGAGCTTACGTTCCTGGAGCTACGGTCAATCTGAGGGCCAGAATAAAGAACGATGAGAGTTCAACAATAGAATTCAAGACGGCAATGAAGCAAGTGAGCTCATGGTTTGGGTCTCCCAAGTCAATTAGCGATTTGAAAAATTTACGCAAATACAAACTGGTTCAAAGTTACGTGTTGATAGTATATTATTTTAAATAAGCAGTCCCATTGAGGCGCAGTAAAATATGATGGATATTGATAACAAAGAATTATTTGAGAATGAAATTTTCAGAAAATGCAGTATGAGTCAGACACAGTTTCATCTCGTCACAATTGAGTGATAGATTCAGCACGAAGAAATACTTTTCTTGAACATATGTCCAATTTATCCTCTTTAGGTATATACAACCAGTACAAACGTTTGTTTGAAGTGAACATTGTTAACATACATGAATGATAGACGAAGAAAATTTTAATAGAAGGAGTACAATGAAATATTTAAAAGCATTTTTATGATTCTGAACGTAGAAAAAAATAAAAAAAATTAGGCGTCGTGGCAAATTAAATTGACTTTTAAGGAATGAATTATCCCAATGAAATTAGATCCCGTTTTCAACATATATAATTTGAATATTTTACATTGAGCAAATAATAGGGTATATGTACCCACAGAAAGTCGCATATCACTCGAAGCGTCGACACCGCATGGAGCACAGCCGGAATGTCTGGAAGGGGCAGACTAGAAGTTGTCTACCGCACGAAGAGAGCGGATGGTTCGAGATCAGCTTTCAGATCCCAGCGGTTGTGCCAAATTTGAAATTTTGCAACATCATCGACGTGGAATATGTATTTCAGGTATTTTGATTCATATATATGCCCTAGTTTTACGTTTTACTTTTATTGGTACTTTTACGTTTTTACATACTAAAATGTTTTTCAGCCTATTTTAACAAGAATCAAATGGGAGATATATGTTATGTGTAAAATGTTATATATGAGCTTCGAAAAAACTTTCTTTAATTAGCATCCCCTAGTTTTATTCTCATCAACGGGATTCTATAATTTCCTGAATTATAATTGTCAGTCCCGAGCAACATTAGGCTAAACTGCCAATAATTGCTCATATTTAAATAAATGAGAAAGAATCGAGGATAGAAAGTAAACGAGAAATACTTTGTTGGGCTGATTTGAGTATTTAGGTTAGATAATTAATTTATAGATATCTCATGGCTTAGATTTACACCAAGAAACTTATCAGGTAAATCGTATTTGTTTATATTAATAATTCTTTGCTTCATCCAGATGAAAACAAAAATGAAAATGAACCGCGACGTGGAAATAAGTCAGCCATTTATACTCGGCACAGTGCCGTTCAAGGCCGAGGCGCCGACGTACGAAGAAGCTGCTGTGTCCGATGGGTGAGTTCACTTCAAAGGTTTCAGAGATAGCGTATAAGATAAAAATAAACTGTAAGTCCTGGTTGCAGCGGAAAATTCATGATGAAGGGAACTGGAGGTTTCTTCACTGCAGCAAGGAAGTTTGTGAATAAGTTATGAGCTGAATGTTTGTATGTTTGGAGGATTCCGTAAAGACGTGAATTATTAACTTTTTTCTTGTGGTCAAAAGGCGTTGAACAAATGCAGAGTGTATTCCTTGGCTTGCATCAGAGATATCAATGAAAAAGTTCCACCATAGTTTTATCCAACAAATCATTCAGTACGTAGTAATATATCCACAGAAATTTCTACGAAAATTTCGTGAGAAACTGACTGCGGTCTTGCAAAAAATAGAATGGGTTCCCAAATATTTTTTTCTGGTAATTCTAATTTTTTTCACTGAATGCAGTAGTAATGAGTATGACCAAGCCTTTTAAATTTTGCGCAATCAGTATAAGAGAAAATTTAGCGATCAGAGACTGAGCATAACAATTTAATATGTGAATAATATGTATATTAATTACCTAATTTCTCTTGATTTTCTGTCCGCTCATTGAAGCGAGAATTTAGTGGATGCTATTAGAATTCGGGGTTTTGGTGCGAATGATAATTTCTTGGTGATTAATTTAATCATAGTTTCGAAATGCTGTGTCTCTCGCAAATAAATAATTTGTCTTCTTGTTTTATACAGGCAGTACTGGGAAATATCTTCAAAATAACTCCAAGCTATTTTGATTTAATGGAAATAACCTGGTATCTAATTAAAACTGGTACCTCGAGAGTGTGAACAACAATCGTCATTCCGGTACTCTTCCTGCCACAAATAACAAAATATATATTTTTTTCATTTATATCAGAAATTTTTTCATCATTTTTAAAATTTCGTTTCTTTTTAGCGCATTCTCTCATTTATGGGAAAAATGCACTATTGTGATCGCCATGTCCGTCTGTCCGCTCGTCCGTCCGTCTGTCTGTCTGTCCGTCCGTGACTTCACGTTTTCGTCGACAAGAAAATGCGCTCTCAGTCACTCACTGCATGCAGTGAGTACTGAGTTATATATATTTTTTAATTTACTGATAATTTTTTCAGAACATTCCCTAGCCATCCTCCCGCCACGCTGTCCCCGCAAGCAGTTTCTCCTTGTCACTTCTGCACGAGTCTCTCCTCCAAGTCCAAGCAGCGACTCAAGGGCACCAACCCAGCTCCTAATTATGTCATATTACCTAATCCTGATTACATTTAATTGCATGCAAGCCAAGCCATTCTAACTATTGGGTGATATCTCGTATTATGATACTTTTGTGAGCCATTTTAATAGGTGACTTGTTGTATCTGATAATTATTCCTAATTTAGCTACTTACGTAGGTTTAATGGTGCAAATCGTAATTATATAACGGTTTCACAATATAGGGACAGCTATAATCAAACCCCTAAAGAAAGACTATCCAGGATATATTAACGTCCCACCGTAAAATGGTGATCAGACTTTAAGTATATTGTTTCATTATATTGTTTTACTTTATATAGCAAATTGTATGATGAAGTTAGAATAACAAAGAGTTACCTTGCTCTGATGGTACCAAAATACATTCCTGGGAGGCTCAGGGCTGTCGGGTACCACACACGTGATGTTCAGGGGGGAACCGCGGTCCACGAACAGCTGCTCCCCAGAGGTGATCACAGCCTGCGGCTCTGAACATAGGATGGGTCCACAATATAATTAATCAAGGGTCCGCAATATTTATTATAAGGGTCCACAATATTTATTATAAGGGTCTACAATGTTAAGCATAAGGGTCCACAATATAATTAACCAAGGGTCCATAATATTAATTATAAGGGTCCACAATATAATTAATCAAGTGTCCACAATATTTATTATCAGGGTCCACAATATAATTAACCAAGGGTCCATAATATTAATTATAAGGGTCCACAATATAGTTAATCAAGTGTCCACAATTTTTATTATCAGGGTCCACAATATAATTAACCAAGGGTCCATAATATTAATTATAAGGGTTCACAATATAATTAATCAAGGGTCCGTAATATTAATTATAAGGGTCCACAATATAATTAACCAATTTTGTTCAGGTGTACAGTGCCTACCATTGCGTTAGGTTTTGTTGAAACGAATGAAAATATAGTAGTGAATGTTTAATTTCCTATGAATTCTTTGAGAAATTTCTGCAGAGGGGAAAGAGGCCAATTCCAAAATTGCTGGGTCAATCAATTGTGTTCCGATATGCTGCGCTTAGAATTGATTTTGGTCTTGTTGTAACGAATACACATTTAGAAGTGAATAAGCTACATCCTAAGAATTTTTATGAAAAATCTCTGTAAAGGGCAATGAATCCTGATCCAGAAATTGTGGGTCTTCCCTTAAAATTTTGTACACTGCAACGTGAGTTTACAAATAAAGCCTTATACATAAGCTTAATTCTTAGACTCCTTCATTGAATAGTAAAATGTAACAGCAATAAAACCTAAATATATCCAATTCTACCAGCGCATGAGGCTTATCATAAACGACTCGAGAAAATTGTTATTCTTCGAGATGGAGATTTTTTATATAATTTTTTTCCAAATTGGTTGATAGTCTGACAGTTACTGATAAAGAATAAAAAAAAAATAATAAAATCACTGATAATTAACTTGATGAAAAAATGCTCATTACCGTGGAGACGAATAGTTCACTAGACTTACCTACAACGTTGAGTAGCACAACTCGCGCCAGCGGTGGTCGGATCGACACCTGACATTCGTATTTTCCAGTATCACGGATTTGCGGAAATTTGATTCGTAACGACCAAACGTTGGACCCTGGCGTGTTGTGGGCCACGAATCGATCATCGTTCGTAAATGTGATTCTCCCGACTGTCAAAACGTGAATGTCTTCGTGACGAACCCACGAAACCTGTAACGTGAAGACATAGATAATTTTTAACATAACAGTTAGTTCATCGCAAATATTGAGAATGGTGTATGTGTGTGTCAAATGTATGTAGTGCAACAAAATTTGAAAATAATTTACTCACTATAATCTAACTGTTGAAAAGTGCTAGTCTGTGTGATCATTTACATGCATGCATACGAGTTTTCGTTTATGTTTCACTTCACGTTAGTGGTGCTATTTCATTGTAGTTCGAAGTGATACTAATTATAATTTACAATTTCATTAGCTTTAGACATGTTAAAAGGAATGTGAGACATGAGGTGTAAATATGTGAAGTCCAAATTGGCAGCTCTCAAATTTGACGAAAATCGGTCGCTAAATAAAAATAGATTAATACATAAGTGCAATAGTCATTGACATTCTAATCCATCTTTGTTAAATTGGGATGATCTGTGAATCCTCGAATGAAGTCTTCAGTATGAATTAAAAACGATCATCACATTAAAATGAATGGAATGCTCGACAACTAAGTCAAATTTTCAACCTATTTTCAAATCAAGTAGCTTAACATTTCAGTACGCGAACCAAATTCTCATTTCGATGTACTTTCTTCAATGTTAATGTACAAAGAAGAAAAAAATATAAAAAAGTTCTCGGTTCTAATTACGATCTAGTTAAGACGACTCTTGCGAGCATAGAGTCTGGAGAGCGTGCCTTTGAATTCCAATCAAGACCATTAGGACGCGAGTGAAATTAATTGGAATATTTAAATTCATAAATTAGTATGTTTTGAGCCTTTAAAGATTTATTCTTTGCGGTAATATTTTTTCCTCAATAGCAATTGTGCTTATTGCATTTTACGACGGTAGAGGGACAATCGCATTACGTTGTCCATGTCTTTTTATGTCAACGCTCTTAGTTTCATGACGACGTTTCATAACAGGCTCATTTAATTGGTAAAAATCAGATAGATGTAGAAAAAGAAACACACATCGCGTGTTTTTTATTTGTGTTTATTATACGTTACTACTGACAAGTTGTTACAGGACACTTGCATGTAAAATATAAAGATATTGCACAAATATTGATCAAAGCTGGGATTGTGGGATATGCTTGAATTTTGACGAATTATCTTAAAGTATTTGTTGACTACTGCGTAATTTCTAATTAATAATATAACATAGTACAAAAGTCAAATAACATAATAAATTATTTCTTCCTATTTACCGTCTTTCAAGTCAACAAGATCGAAATATGATATAATTTTCGGTCATCTCACTAACATAAAGCCAAGGAACAAGAGCGTATCTTGAGTAATTGTCTCGCTCTGACAGCGGACAATAGTGGCATTGCCGTCCTTGTCCAGTAAAGTAATCTCATTCTCTGCCCCAAGAAATTTTGCGCGGCCAGGGGCCATGTTTGCATGTCGGCGAATATTGCGCAGCGTCGACCATCGTCGGATTACCGACGGCCGGCCAATTTCCTTAAGTTTGTCAACGTGACGCCTAAAATTTGGATACGGACTACAGAATAAAATTAAATTTGTTTCCTTTTTAGCGCATTTTCTCATTTATGGAAAAAATGCACTATTGTGCTCGCCATGTCCGTCTGTCTGTCTGTCTGTCCGTCCGTCCGTGACCTCAAGTTTTCGTCGACGAGAAAATGCGCTCTCTGTCACTCACTGCAGTGAGTACTGAGTTATATTTTTTTTAGTTTTGACCGGCTGGTAGCCGAACATAGCATGGTAAAGGTCTAGTCGCTAAAAACACGGCTGTAATTTTTATCAAGGATGTTCGTGTTTATGAAGGGAACCGAAAGAAGCTGTCGTGTTTACGTCCCGCCACTTGCATGCTAATTCATGACATTCGGACCCTGAATAAACTTGGCTTCATTCTCCACCTTGTCATTACTGGTACAATTCGGGCGTATGCTTTTATGTAGTTTTTATTTGAGCGAATTTTTATGTAGTTCGTATTTGAGCGCATGTTTTCATGTAATTCTTATTTGAGCGCATGTTTTTATGTAGTTCTTATTTGAGAGCATGTTTTCATGTAGTTCTTATTTGAGCGCATGTTTTCATGTAGTTCTTATTTGAGCACATGTTTCTATGTAGTTCTTATTTGAGCGCTTGCTTCTATGTAGTTCTTATTTGAGCGCTTGTATGTTTTATGTAGTTCTTATTTGAGTGCATGTTTTATGTAGTTCTTATTTGAGCACATGCTTTTATGTTGTTCTTTTAGCTTTCAATCGAAAGTGAAATATATAAGCATTGATTTTTGTTTTCTGAATCTCAAACATTTAATAATTTACCATGTTTTCTCTCATTCCCCAATTTCTTGAAATTTTCCATTATTTTAATTTAAAAATATATTTATTTAAAAATACATGTAAATACATTTAAAGCCCACAACAAAATTTATCCAGAAATTCTCGAATATTTTGATTCCAGAAGGAAGTTCTCAACGTATCCCCCGATATTTGCGTTGCGGTAGAATATTTCAGGCACTCACGGACTTTGTGCCGAGGTTGTTGACTGCGCACTTAAGCTCAGCCATCCTGCCGCGGATGACGGTCACGTTGGTTGGGGTGGTGTCCGCAAAACTCGGCTTTATGTCGTTATTCTGAAAACTCGGAGGTGGAGTAAACATGGCTGCCAGACCCGGACCTGTGATACATAGATATTTATTTCAAATATACGATAATTGAGTTAATTTGGTGTCTATTATTTCAGGTAGTCATTCCTTAGTAATTCAGGACTCAATAAATGTCAAATTGTGTCATGAATGCAATTTATCACATTCGAGGTTTATGGCAGATTCAATGCACATGTAATGCTATTTTTTTAATTTGACACTGGATGTACGAATTGATGCATCTCAAAATGTCTATTTCATTTATTTAATTAATATTTATTAAATTTATGATATAATATAATTATAAATGATGTAATATAATTATAATATTATATTATAATTATATAACATAATTCGCTAGCGCACCAGCAAGTGTGTTGGAGAAGACGGTGGTGGTGAGGTGGGGAGGGGCGGGTGAGGCAGCGCGAGGCTTGACGTGAGACTGACGAGGCGGGCTGTCGGTCACGACTGGTGACTTCTTGAAGAGAAGTCTTGCCGTGTCAGAACCTGGTGGTGACGTGTCCACGTCATGGCTGCCTACGAATTCGTACGCGACGACTGCGTTCGTATCTGTTCAACACGCGACGAAAAATAAGTATGTAAATAGAAGCAAATTCTTATACTTGGCTGCGGTATCTTGATCAACATAATCAAACGTTTATTAAATAATATCTATCACTGTTAGGAAACTGAATTTTATTGCTGTTATTTGTCGTGTATTCGTATGCATGTGTTAATAACTATCTCTTATTAGTATTATTTTTTTTAGACAATGAGAGCTAAATTACCGGGAATCACTCCAAGTAAATGTCCTAAATCAAATTTTGATTCACAAATTCCACCATAATTTCGAACTCTAACTATTTTCATTAATAAGAATCACAGATTTTATAATATAGATTTATAAATATATGGTAATAATTGTACTGAAAAATAATGTCAACTAGTTTGCAAGACAAATGTGTACCTTTTTTGTTTCGACCTTCAATTGAAACATTTTTTCGATTACCTGAAAAGCATTAGATGAAATTTGATCTAATCACCAAAATCATTGTTGTTCCATTTTTATCATCTCAATTTTGCACTTTCCTTTAGTTAGATTGAAAATTCCTCATTACAGGCTAAATAAAAAAATCAAGGTCTAACTTCTATCACAGAGAATTAATTCCATTTGAATACTCACCCCGAGCTCGGCAGAGCAGCACCAGAGAAGCGACGCAGAACCAAAGTCTGGTTGCATCCATCGGTCTTCCTGAAGAAACGACCGAGATTTTCAGAGCTCACGACACACGATGTCGTGCAGGGTAATGTCATAAGTCGAGGTCTTGCAATAAACGCAGACTTAATTGACTGTTGGAAGTGACGGTATCATAGTTACGCTTAGAAACGTATCAGACCACTACAGCTTGATGGTAGTTCTCATGGCCATGTAACTGACATAGCAAGACGAGGTATAATAAATACACTCTGCAGTTTTTAATAAAAATGACGTAATCTTCTTTTTAGAAATGTCAGAGCCTGATTCGGATTTATAAAATGAGAAACTGTACAAGAAAGGAAGCGGCAAGATTTCCTTTGACAATCCAACTATAGTTTTTTTATCTATTAATTTATGTGTGAAACACTCTGAAAATGTTTAAAAAACGATTAGTTGAGAACATATAACATTTTGAAGAACCTCCTTAAATTGAATAAGGCTCCACCTAATTCATCATGAGGTTCCTTGCATAAGGCTAAAGAGGAAATGCAATGAACTTAATTTTCGTTGTTAGTCCTACTCTGTGAAGACATAGCTTCAATAATATTATGTTCAACTGCACCCTGAACTCCTTAATAAAGCCACTTTTTTCATTTAAAGTCTAAAACATCCCACATGGAACTATTATGTGCATATATACCATATACAAAAATTATCAAACCTTCAGATTTCGTGTATCTTAAACAATAGAAAAAAATATAACTCAGTACTCACTGCAGTGAGTGACAGAGAGCGCATTTTCTCGTCGACGAAAACGTGAAGTCACGGACGGACAGACGGACATGGCGTGCACAATAGTGCATTTTTTTCATAAATGAGAAAATGCGCTAAAATGATATTGTCTTTCATATTTTTTTCCTCCACCTACGTGTACAAATTATACAGCTAAAGCATTTTGATCTTATTTTAAGTAGTCCCGATTAGATTGCAGAGGAGGCAGGCGGCGAAGGTCTGGAGAAAAGCTCCAGCACCAGCCTGGCCAACAAAGATTGATGGCCGCGGCCTCGAAGATCATGATTGTGGGGCTGCAGCAACGACCATCTGAACGTGCAGGCTTGTAACTCTTCCTCAATTTGTTGTATCGCAAGACCAATATCGCATGATTTATTCATTCACATGTGTAAACTATCTAAATTCTTTTATATTTTTCACTCCACAAGATAGCATATTATTAATAATTATTTCACAATTTATTTTATACGAGAGCATATGTTTCATGATTGAAATATGCAGTTGTCGCTCACAGAGAGGCCGGCATCAGGTTAGACACATTAATGAATATCGAGTTGGGAGAGGCAGCTGTTGCACCGGATTTCAGCCATTCTGGAAACCGAATGAATTGCGAATTAAATACTAAAATTATTAGCCCGTTTCATGATTTTCCAAAATTATTAACGGGTGAAAATATAGTTATTCAACAATCCAAATCTGAAAAGATAACCATAAGTTTTGAATACCTACGTTGTGTGGGTATCGCGATTTGATATAATAATAATTAGAATTTAACATAAATCGGTTGGAGAAGAAGGATGTTGAATGACGGAAATAATATAATATTTCCTTCATTATTTATTTATAAAAAATTATTTATTATCAAAAGAAAATTATTTATTATATATGTATTATTTATTACATATTTTTATTATATTTTATAACAAAAAGAGGATGGCTAGACCTGATCAGCTTTGGGAATGGGGGAGACTTGACTGAAGCAATAAAATTGTTCTTCCACCATTGGAGGAAGGGAACACCTGACCGAAGCAATAAATAGAACTGCATCCTTCAGTACGTGGGTAAGCCGTAAGACCAGGCATGGGAAAGAACTGTTCTGCCTAATTTGATGAAAAAAGGCTGTTCCATCTAGCGATCCAATATTAAGTTCGTAGTTGCAGACTTTCTTTCAGGAGGCTCTCTAACCTACAGATCAACGTCCTTGTTTCTTGACAGTATCACATATTTTCCCTAAAATGTTACATTTTGCAGCTCAGAATGAAATTAATTTTGGATGAATCCATATATCGGAGCAAATAACTGAACCATGGAACCCATTTAAAAAATGAAAAATAAAAGTCTTGCAGAACCTCAGAAAAGAATTTGACGCCAGGATTTTGTGATTGTTCAAAATTTCGGTCTCACGAACCTTTACGAACCTGAGGACCAACAATGATTTCTTCTTCAAGTTTAGCAACGCTAATCTAAGAAAACTTCGCAACCAACTACTCACAGCATTCGAATAATATTTTTTCGGTAGCTTTTGTAAGATTCTCATGAAACATAATTCAATGTGTACCGAGGCAAGTGCGTGGACAAGTGCGTTTCTTTTCTTTTTTTTTTTGTTGCAATGGTGAGTGTGGGAGGCCTTTATTAAAAAAAAGATCCGGTACACATTCAACTCTCGAATTCCAACCTTATACTACGTTATTATCTTTTATTGCGTGACTGCACAATGTAGCACGACTTTTATGTAGCCGATAGGTACGCACCATGACAATACCAATGACTTCTAAATGCCTGTAAATGTTCCAATGAAAACAGTCATTGTCTTCATCACGCATCAATACTTCCATTATACCCTGTGTTTCATTCGAATGTACGAGAAGCGAAATCACAGGCCATCATTTTTTGTTAATGACTCATTCTAACGCCCAGCTCCTGCAAGTTACAAGTTTTTTTTTCAGATGTGATGCCAGTTGTTCAGCCCTCTCCTTAAATGCAGACAAATTTCCCACTAAGTTCTCACTTTGTTAAAATTTTGGGCGATTTGTCGTATTTAGCTGTGAATTTTAGCCGCATAATTTTTTTAGCGCTCAAAAAATTCAGCTGGTGAGAACCCTGAGGTTTTGAAAATGTGCAATGGCCATTCTCTTCAATTCATTGGTGCTGTAATTCAAAAGAAGCTTTGTGTTGGTTTATTTTTTTTCATCACAAATTTTAACACGCATTACACACCACATGAAGTATCCGTGGTTTGTATAGGTCGCATTTAAATGAGGCACCATCGAATATAGCTCTCGAAAATTAGTACAGGAAATTATTACTCTTTCTGTACATAAGATTAATTAGAGCCAATGGAAGAGTCTGATGTGGAAAAAATTTCTTATAATTCACGCTTAGCGTGCACACAGTGAGTGCGCGTATCCTCAGAACATCTTGCTTCTTTTTTGTCATGACGGTCAGTGTTCAATAACCTAACACATATAAGCAATCTATAAAGCTTGAAAAGTGAATATATTATTTTCAAAATTGTTTTTTGAAGCAATTTCAATTTTGAATGATTTTTAAATGAGATTTACTTGCTTTCAAAACATTTTAATTCATCAAAGAACATTGCCTCTGAAAATGTTGAAAAATCTGGACATAGTTGAAGTTTGCGAAACGAAGGAATTTGCTTTATAAATAAAATTTCGAGCAATTCCGTCAGAAGATAAACTTTGTTTTTTTTTCTATATGAAGATATTCATGGGATTTTCAAAACTTTACTTAAGGATATATTCATTCATAGTTGAATTTTAAAGAGCTAGTCCGTCTGCTTGTATATCCTAGCTGTATCGTTTCCTCCACGATTGACCGATTTCAAAATATTTGCTGAAAAATGGAGGGTTGGGAATTTTGCCTTAGATGTTGATATCTTGCTTGTTTTAGCGCGCCTTTGTTCCTATTGAAGCGAGACAATTTGGGGAGCTTGTTCTGCTTTTCGTTGGCTCTGAAAATAGAAACTTAGGGTGGAAAAACTCAAATTGAAGGTGCAATATCATCCTCAAATTTCGAGTTATGGGTTTAGAAAAAATCTATGTTGTCATTTCCCCAACAAATGGTTAGCAATAACTTTTAATGGAACGTAAAAGCTCAAACAATTTATGATCCAATAATATTCTTCAATAACGATTTTCATAATAGTCAGCAAAAAGATTTATAAATAAAACATTGAAGACATCATTCAAATAATAGCACCATGAAAATTTTTACTTGCTCATGAGAATAAAAAGGACCTCTTATAGCACTGGATCTGTGTGATCTAAGGCTGAAACCATATCGTTGAACGTATCGCATCAAATTAGATGAGTAGATCAGATTAACAGCATTTTACCTTCCGAAAAAATGCATGATAGAAAGAGATGCATTGATGTGCATTTAAAATATACATGTTGCACAGTTTAAAATGCTTACAAACTTACATTTCTAGCCTGCAGAAAAATGCGTAAAAACTTTGTAATGAGATGCAGTAAGTTCGTTCCAGTGACAGTTATTAGAGATCAAAGTTTCCATCGAAAATATTCTTTTGGGTTATAAAAAAATGCATCAACCATCACTAACAAGATACAAAATTAAGCTCAACAAGTACAATGTCATCATAGGGAAACTGGACCCACTTAAGAAGAGCAATATACTCTCGTCATGGAATGATTCTTTCGAATAAATGACTCTGTTACCCCGTACAACGAAGAATGACTAAAATAAATAACTCTGTTGCTCCGTACAACGAGGCATGACTAAAGTAAATAACTCTGTTGCCCCGTTCAACGAGGAATGACTAAAATAAATAACTCTGTTGCCCCGTACAGCGAGGAATGACTAAAATAAATAATTCTGTTGCCCTTACAACGAGGAATGACTAAAATAAATAACTCTGTTGCCCCGTACGGCGAGGAATGACTAAAATAAATAACTCTGTTGCAACGTACAATGAGAAATGACTAAAATAAATAACTCTGCTGCCCCTACAACAAGGAATGACTAAAATAAATAACTCTGTTGCCTCGAACATCGAGGGATGACTAAAATAAAATCTCGACGGAGCTTCTCACCAGAGTCCAGAAGTTAGGCTGGGGCACGCTCCTCATTAGAGTTTACTGCGCCATCTAGCGGTACTCTGAGTGAACTAACTTCCGTCGCTAGATGTTACATCGTTACAACAGTTCTAGAACCTTTATGAGAATTACATGGGTTCTTCATGACCAGAACACTTGGTGGTCATAGTGAGGCAGCAATATCTTTCCTGAGATGAACTTTTCTTATGAAAGCTTGTGCGAACCTCAAGGCAAAATCTAGTTTTTTTACGAGGGATAGTTTGTCATTTGGTCCGGTAGGAGTCGGTGAAAAAGGATGATGGATTTAGTGCGGCTCTAAAGTGGACATGAACTCACAAATACGTCAATGATATGAGGTAATTCGAGATATGAGATAAAAAACTGGAATTGCAGTCTTTTAGTGAAGAAAACAAATTATACTGATAAATGATTGTTTTTGCACTACTTTTAACAACTTCGGCAGCCGACCATCTGCCAACGA